CCTGGACTTTACAAAACTGTTTAACAGTTATATACAAACACTAAAACTTTACCTGGACTTTACAAAACCATAGAAAACTCATTATGTTTAACAGTTATATACAAACACTAAAACTTTACCTGGACTTTACAAAACCATAGAAAACTCATTATGTTTAACGGTTATATACAAACACTAAAACTTTACCTGGACTTTACAAAACTATTAAAAACTTATACGTAAACACTAAAACTTTACCTGAACTTTATAAAACTGTATAAACCTTATATACAAACACTAAAACTTTGCCTGGACTTTACAAACTATTGAAAACTTATCATGTTTAACAGTTATATATAAACACTAAAAATTTACCTGGACCTTACAAAATTATTGAAAACTTATACACAAACAATTATACACACATACACTAAAACTTTATATTGCCTTTAAAAACTATTGAATTGAAAACTTATACACAAACACTACACCTTTACCTGGTACTGGAATGTGTTGTGAACTAATAGAATAAAAAATACCATTTCACCAAAACTTATATCACAGGATATTGTCTTCTATATGTTAGTATCAGTACACTGTTTTAAAAAAGCGAACTTACACAGAAAAACAAATATATTAGTAACCGAATTACAGTCAACATAGGTATAGACATGAAAACTTAGAATTCACAGAAATATAATGCATTTTCGCAAAAACGTTAGTTGTGTGTGCATGCGTTCACTTGCGTGTTGGAAAATGACACGAAACACCAGTGAAAATTGTAGGGTTCCAGTCACTAATGATGGTTTATTGAGTGGACTTGTTATCATTCCTAAACTATTTTTCTACTTGTGAATGTTTTTGTGGAGGGAAGGGACATGGGTTGTTCAATTAGGTTTATTAAAAGCTATAATATCATTTTAATTTTTGAAAAGAGAACAGAGACTTACTATTATTTTTACTTATTGTAACTATTTTTTGGTCCTGAGATCTGCAGTATCTACTGCCAATGAAAATTCAATGAATACCAATTCCAAAGCGAAATGACTGAATGATTAAATACTACCAAAACCTATTTCTGCGCATGTCACAACATTTCACTTAGAGTAAAATTAAATATACTAGAACAATGGGTAAAATCAGAGTGCGCAACACCAGCCAAAACACCTTCACTTAAAACAAAGGAATTCTGAATTTCATGTCATTCTGACTCCAACACGTGAGTTGGTACCACTAAATAAACTAAAGGACAGATGCAGGTGTAGGTAGCAAGATGAACACTGGAATACAGTTTCACAACCTTCTCTACATAACAGGCCTGACATAACCCTTAGTTACACTCCTGGAACGGCTTTCTGTTTATCAGCACAAATGCTCGTTGCTGTGCATGGTACATATGTGTTCTTTTCTTCTTGAATACATGTATTCTATTGTTTAAGTACCAGCGCTCAGTATTTCACAAACACTAGTATATAGTGGTCATGTATTTTGTCTAACGATTTTAGCGTTAGCGTGACGTAAAATTTTTCAGAAACTTACTATGCTTTGTTTATCAATAGATTCTTCTCATAGAACTGCAGTTTAATGGGTTTTCTGTTAATGTCTAGTGAACAGAAGTTTGGTTGCATATTCGGAAGGATTGGCAGAAAAATAAAACAGTTATCATGTATTAAACTAATGGACCTCTGTTAAACATAATTTTACTTCAGTGTGCATCACTTGTTACATTGTACATTTATTTCTCAGCTCTTTTCAACAAAACGAGGAACTTCCCAAAAAGAATAACTTTGGCCACTCATACATTTCAGAAATCAAACCGAATGTATTAATAAATAAATAACTATTCATACAATAAATTTTAATGTTTAACGAGATTAATAGATGAAATAGACAGCCCACACCATAGCCCCTTGTGTTGATTAAAGCAGTTGGTATAACCCGTGGCTATCAACCTAGATACAGAAAACATATTTCAGGGCTTTATTTAGCTACTAAATTAAAGCTTATTCTATGAATTGTATATACTCAGTTGTTTTTGTTTGTTTTTTGGCTTGAAAAAAAAATATTCACGTCATACGTACATGTATGTTATTGATAATTCTTCTAGGTCTTCGTGTGTAGTATGACAAATATGAAACTTCTAATTATTGTGTAAAGTACAATCCAGCAGAAAACTTTGATCTATAAAGTACCATCATGGAAGTTTCAATGACAAACAACGTACAAATATATGCACCTGGAAAAAAAAAGTTCAAATTCAATTGCAATCAGAGTTAAGAGTTGGTGTAATCCAGATGCAAACAGAAATGTCTCCAGTCTCTGGATTGCTACGGCTAAGGCACACTTCTCGATAACCATCTTGCCCCATTTGTGGTCAAGCAGGTTGAACAGGATACTCATATTTTTGCATAATGAAAGGACACGGGCCATGGTGGTAATCTACGACTGGTCTGTTTGAAACTTATTGTTCTAATGTCTACCAAGAGGGGGGGGGGGGTTACAATAAGAATTACTACTCGCTTTTCACAATCAAGTGCCTCATTCGAGGTCACCTTTTCAAACCTCAGTAATTGTCAGGATGTCCGTAAGTGATATCACAGAGACTCGCTTGATAAAACATCTATAAGATTACCAACAATGATATCCTCAGTCTGTTGCAATCGTGGTTGAATACCTTTGCTGTGTAAACGACGCAACTAACCTACGTATGCTTCCAGACCTTCAGATGGTCCTCAGTCTGTTGCAATCGTGGTTGAATACCTTTGCCGTGTAAACGACGCAACTAACCTACGTATGCTTCCAGACCTTCAAATAGTCCTCAGTCTGTTGCAATCGTGGTTGAATACCTTTGCCGTGTAAACGACGCAACTAACCTACGTATGCTTCCAGACCTT